AATTGTCCATACAATGCATACTCAGGTGCAACATACCCCATTGTCCCAGCCACTCTAGTACTCAGGTGTGTCCTCCCCTCAGGAGTAAACTTAGCAAGTCCAAAGTCAGCTACCTTGGCCTCAAACTTTTCATCCAAGAGTATGTTACTTGCTTTGATATCTCTATGGATGATTCCTGGTTGTGCCCCATAATGCAAATAAGCCAGCCCCCTGGCCGTCCCTAGTGCAATCTTTGCCCGTATAGGCCAACTAAGTCTCCCCTCCTTGGATCCGAATAAATGGTCATGGAGACTTCCATTCTTCATCAAGTCACAAACTATTATCCTCTGATGACCCTCCAACGGAGTTGTAGCAGTACAATACCCTCTCAAAGCAACAAGATTGACATGTCTCACGCTCGCAATAACCTCAACTTCATGAGTAAAATTTGCATCACCAACTGCAAAACAATTCTTGAATCTCTTCAATGCAACTTCAGAGCCATCAAGCAAGACGCCCTTGTACACATTTCCATACCCTCCACTCCCAATTATGTTGTCCCTCGAAAAATTTTTAGTTGCCTTCTTAATCTCATCAAACCCGAACTTAACCAAGGTAGTACTCTCTCTAATCAACCCCGTTCCAATCTCAAGATTCCTGGCTCTATCTCTCAAATTTTTCATCTTCAAATGCTTATGTTTTCTATAAATAAACCAACACCCACCAATCACTATGACTAACCCAACACCAACTCCAATCAAGACGACTAAAATCATAACTTTCCTCTTCTTATTACCACTGCTACTACCAGAGAAATCAAGTGCAAACAAACAAGAGGCAGTAACTTTATCAGTTGGCCCATAATGGTTTACAAAAGCCGCTGCGTAAGTCAATGTATAGGTTGTGCAATCGGAGACATTTGGACCCGGCAAGTAGCACGCCAGCAAGTTCGCCAAGGCCTGCGTACACAACGCACAGGGCGATCCGTTTAACAGCGACTGATTACAATTGGAGACGACATCTTCCATGGTGGAGTTGGGAATCAGGGCTTCGAATTGGGATTTGGTGGTGATGTTCATACACCTACGAGAGCCCCATTCAGTCTGGAACCCACAAGATGTACGGATATCGAAATTAGGGAGGAACGGGGCGAGGAGGGATTGGTAAGCTTGCAAGCAAGGCTCAGACGAGTGGAGAGGTAGCAGGAAGGAGTTGGTGAGCTGGAGGTAGTGGGACTGAACGAGACGCAGCCCCTGGCGAATGTGCTGGCACGTGGTGGAGACGTCAAGGGTGGGGGGGTTTGAGTTGGTGATGAAAGGGCGGAGGATGGAGAAGTCGAGGGGACATGATGCAGTGGCGTTTTGCTGGGCGTGGGAAGGCGGAAGTAGGATTAGGAAGAAGAGGAGGAGATTGGGAAGAAGGGTCATCGGAAATGACATA